CCCCGCAGTGCCCCGTGGGCGCGAACCCCAACCCCATCTACCAGGTGCTCTGAGGGCGCCGCCGGCCACCCGCCCGAGGGATGGTGCCCCTAGGGTCCCCTCGCGCCCCAAAGATTTCGTTCAAGTGTCACCCACTGCCCTCGGTCGCGCTTTAAAAGCGACTTCCCCTGAGGGAGGAGGGGCGGGAGAACCGACGCGTTTCCACCTTCCGCACCCCGGAGCGAGGACAGGCCTTTTTCCCACGCAGCGCGCTTCCCTGAGACCCGCTGCGATGGCCGTTTTGTGTTGCTCCACGGGCCGGAGCTGATTCGGGAGGGGCCAGGCCCTTCCTCTTCCTCACTCCTTTGCCCCGTGGGAGGTGGGACCCTCGCAGACCTCTGCCCAGCGCCCCGACGCCCGGGCACCTCGGGGGTTGTGGCATCTTTCCCGAGCCCCAGAGACATCAGCTCTGTCCCACCGCCGGCGCCACGGCGCTCGCGGCCCGAGTGTAACAAGTGTAAAGGTAACCACTCCCACCCCCTGTTCAGGACCACTTTTTGTAATACTTTTGTAATCTATTCCTGTAAATAAGAGTTGCTTTGCCGGAGCAGGAGCCCCTAGGGCTGTATTTATCTCTGAGGCATGGTGTGCAGTGCAAAGGGGACTTTGTATGTTTATACCAAGGGGGAGCCAGCCTCCGTTGCTCCTCAGGTGTTCGAAATAAAAACGTTAATTTATACCATGGCGGTTCTGGCTTTCCCAAAGGATAGGGGCAGAATATTCACCCGAAGGAAAATCCGCAAGCTGGGTAGCAACTAGCCCTGCAGGTGGCAGACGGATTGCAAGGAGGAAGCCTGAGGCCAGGGGAGGGAAGGGTGGGGTGCGTGTGTCTCCAACATGTGGGAAGATTCCTGTGACCATGACCAACAGCATCACACACAGGTCAGTGGTTTTCATGTCAGATGCATATTAGAATGATCTGAATAGTTTATAAAGAGATCCATTCACATGCCACCCAACTCCAACCCCTAACACACATACACTTGCCACCAAGACCTCAGTGCTTCTTAATTCCACCCTTAAAGACCCCCTTTCCCCTGAAAACCTTACAAAGCCACTTCAAGAGCTCTGCTCACCAAGTGGGAGGCCCCGGGGGAATGCAGGCAAGATGTGATGCCAGCAGGAAGGCCCTCATTTCGTATCTGAGGACGTGCTCTCTGCTCCGAGGAGATCTTCTGCTCTCCCCAACACAGGGGCCCCGAGGAACCACCAGAGCTGCTCTGTTACTAAATGATCCTCAGCTTTTCTTCTGGCTGCTTCCCCAGATGTGCCATGGGGTTTCTTACACTCCTTTGAGACCCCTTGGGGCTCATTCATGAATTCATTCATTCAAAAGATGCCAAGTCCTATGCTGTGTGAAAACAGAGACCAGTGGACATAGTTCCTGCCCTTGAGAAGCACCCAGACATTTGGAAAAATTGTATCTTTTAGCAGCTGGTTACATTACAATGAATTAAGGTCTATAATGGGGGTATATGTGGCAGAGGAACATGGTAGGCCAGAAGGTATAGACAAGCAGGTCACTCCTCATAAGAATCTTGAAGGAGGTGGTCAGGAAAGGAGAGCCAAAAAAGGCTGCTCCAAGCTGAGGAAACAATAAGTGCAAAGGCCCAGAGGTGACAGAAAGCAAACTGTGCCTTCGTGGAACCAAAACTGCTCACAGGGAGCAGCCATAGTGAGATGGAGAAAAAGCAGAGGCAGGGCCACAGTGGACCTCATTTGGGCTTTATTCTGAAGGCAATAGGGAGCCACAGAAGAATCTAAACAGGGGAAGGATTAAAATAAATCTATATTTTAGAAAGGCCAGTCTGGACTGGCCGAAAGGGTAGGATGGGAGACATGTCAGAAGTGCCACCATAGGCCACACAACAGGGCCCGAACTGGGGCAATGACTGGCGATGGGAGAGAAAGCACAGGAGTGGAGACAGTTGTGCCAGATAAAGTGTAAGTGTTGAGGGTACAGCGGAGAACCTTGAAGGCACAGTTCTTGCCCTCACAGCTTAAAACCCACTGGGGAAATAGCCATTAGCCAAAGAACCAAGTGGGTAGATGCAATGTTACAAATGCTGAGAAGTGCTATAAGAAAAAGTAGAGCGTAATGACAGATGACAATGGGATATGAGAAGGTTACCAGGTGAAGAGAGGAGGAGGCAGGGCTTCTGCACTGAGGGAACCAATTACAGAATTGAAGAGGGCTCCCGTAGCCTCCAGGGAGCTAGTGTGCAGTTGAAAAAGGTGGCCCTCCTTCCCGAGGGCCTTGCTGTGCACACGGGTTTGCGGCTAGGCAAGCCCTGGACTGGACTGCCGCCCCCGCCAGGCGCACTTGTGCAGTGAGCAACCTGTGTGGCTGTTCACATCGCCTCCCGTGTGAAGGTCCTAAAGAAATGAGGAAATCGCAGGAGCCAAGGACGAGGCTCTGGTTTGTTTCTGAGTGGGCGGTGGTGCCAGCGCAGAGATGGAGGCCTCAGGAGAAGCAGCAGCAGGTACAGGGACAGGCGTAGCCCCACATGCTTCCAGTTATAAGAGACAGAGATGCAATTCAAAGTAGCGTAAAGCCCACAAGGGGGGTGGTGGAAAGACATGGGGCAGCTCACCTGTGGAAGAGCACTACATGCACCGTGGCTTCCATGGTCTGGCGAGCTGGCACTGGAGCCCCCTCTGCTTGTTCACACATTCCCTTCTTGTCTCTACTTGGCTTTACTCTCTCCTACTCCACGTTGGTTTTCTCCAGCAACTCAGGGATTACCTTAGATCTCACCATTAAACTCGTTAGACAATTCCCAGGGAAGCCCTGGCTGGTGTGGCTCAGTTGGAGCGTCATCCCATGCGCCAGAAGGTTGCTGGTTTGATTCCTGGTCAGGGCACAGGTCCAGGCTGAGAGTTCGATCCCCGGTGGGGGAGTGTGTGGGGGAGGCAACCGAGAGTCAACCCATCAATGTTTCTTTCTCTCCCTCTCCTGTCCTCTCTCTCTAAAATTAACAAAAACACATTTTTAAAACATTTCCAGGGAAGAAATCTAATTCTAATTGAACTCTAATTGGGCCAGCTTAGGTCATGAGGAAGGATTTGAACCCAGGCAGAGAGGCACCAGAAACTGCACTTCTAGCTACCTTGCTCTGTAGAGGATGTTAGGAGAGAGGAAATGAGGAAAGTCAGAGTGAGGAAAGTCAGGAGGAAGGGGAGCAGCTGGAGATTGGATCACCCCATAAATGATGGGATTTGAGGTCCCTTCCCAGCATGGTCCTCACCTCAATCCCTGGTGGTGGTAGGTGGGAATAATGTAGCTGAACTCAACCCACTTGCAGTGTGTACAAAATGTCCCTTGCTCTTGGGGCCCTTTTCACCTGGGCTGGATCTGAGGAAACACTGGGCCATGCTCTCCTAGGGACATATTAGTATGTCTCTACATGTATGTACTTATATAAGAGCACCCCCAGAGGCAGGTGCACCATGAAGTTTAAGGGTCAGGTCCTCTCCCTTGCATGAGTCCCTTTTAAGGCCCTGGGAAAAGCCCTAGAAATATGTTCATATGGTCTAGTTGCTTTTTCAATTTGCCAGAGGAAATTACTATAGCCAACTGATTCTGACCATTGTCTGTATTCTGACTTCCCCTTGTGTTGGGTGGCATGTATGGGTATCCTGGTGTTGTACGCAAAGGTATACATTTTGTCTGCGTTTAGTGGAATATATCTTAAATAAATGGTTTCTCAAACAGAAGCAATAATGATAAACAGTGAAGTAAAACGATTCTGACATTGACAGGGCAATCATACCCCTAAATATACTTGAATCATACCCAAAAGCAGTTTATTAAAAAAAGAGATAACTTTTGAATGGCATTATTGACAAGACTCTTGCATTGTTCGATAATCCAATCAACAAAGAAGAGTGGATTGTATCAACACGTTGGAGAAAGATTTAAATTTTTTGCTGGTCTAACACAAAATACTAACATCAAGAAAGACAACAAAACATAATATGCCTGTATAACAAGACCTCAACATCAACAACCATTTTAAGGAACATTGTCAGTTTAAAATCATTTAAAAATTAATCACCACACACACAACAAACTTAAAAATACCTTAAACTCTTAGGGTGCAGAGATGAAAGGAACTTGATGGAGGGGTCCCCAAATTTGACACCAATCCTAAAATTGTACATGCCACTTCCAATAGAGTGGTGAGTCTGAAATAAGCTTCCCTAAAATATCAAGGATGCAAAACAAGTTTTAATCAACCATGTTGAAGGAAAGACTGAATTATCTGAATTGCCTCTCAGTTCTCTGTATAGAAAGTGATATTATAAAACCATTGTCACATGGAAGAGGCAATAAAGAATATGCAGCCCGCCAGATGCAGCGGGAAGGAGTGGGCAAGACAGGAGCAAGAGGGGGACGGCAGAGGGGTGAGATGAGGTAGAAGATACAGACAAACCCGATGGTGGTGCTGCTGATGAAGAAAAGCTGGTTCTAGCTCAGGTTTTTTCTCATGTATGCAATACTTAAAATCTCTGCAAACGACTCACTACTGTTAAAGGAAAAACCTTAAAATGCAAGGCTGTGCAATATTTGATTTTATACCATACAGAGTTATTTTCCTATAGTTATTTTTTCCCCAGACAACATTTCAAAGCAGGTTTTAATTAATATAGAACGTTCCCAGTCCCAGGGGAGGAGAGTGAGTCCCAGATGATGTCAACGGCTACATAATTCCTGGGATCTAAACCCGGCTGTGCCACTGACCAGCTCTGCGATGCTGGGAATGTGGCTGGACTTGGGCTTTCTCTCTGTGGAATAGATTAGCGAGTTTAAAAGGTATGTTCTGAAATTCTTCAGTAATTCACTCAAAGCATTTCAGTAAAAGAAAAAGATAAATGAAGTAGATTTTTTACAGATAAGGAAACTGGGACCATGACAAATAGGTTTTTCTCAGCATAAGCAAGTAATTTATAATCTCCTGCTTTACTGATCCTTCTTTTAGTTTTCTCAATATTTTATTGTGACCAGCCCTTA